CCCCGTGAAAAGGTCAGTCATCAGTGGTTGTCTGCTGTTTGTGCTGTCAAATTGAGCCTGTTGATTTTCTGTGGTAAAAGCAAAAACTTCTCCAGAAACTAGATTGAAAGTGGGTTTTTAAGTTTCATCAATTTATTTAGCACACATTCACACGTGTGTTTGTGTATGTCTGTGTGCATGTGTATACATGAGCATGCTATAGTGCTAATGTAGAGGTCAGAGGACTCATAGAAGTCAGTTTTCTCCTTCCACCTTGTGGATTCTAGGGGTCAAACTCAGGATGTCAGGTCTGGTGGCAAACACCTTTACCCGCTGAGCTATCTCACTCTCCTGAAGGTAGTTTTAATGTTGTTGACTAACTTGCTTCCAGCCACTCTTGAGGTCATATGTTCTCTGAATGCACTGTTTAGCATAAGCTCTTTGTCCTTGCTCTAAGGATTTTAATCTAAGGATTTTAATCATTAGTCTATATCTGTAGTACCTTATTTACAGAGCCAATACTTTCATCCATAGTTCAGCATCTCAGTTTGCTTTAAGGCCTATATTAGTTAGCTTTCAGTGTTCTGGCCAAAATACCTTAAAGAACCATTTAAAGGGAGGAAATACTTATTTTAGTGCACACAGTTGGAGGTTCCAGTGGCCTGGGGTACATGGCGGAAATCATGGCAGCAGGAGCATGTAGCTGGGGCTGCTTATCATGGCAGACAGGAAGCAGAAGGGAAAATTCTTGTACCCTGGCTCTCACCTTCCCTCCCTTTCATTACATTTGGGTCCCTGGCCTGTGGAATGACGTCACCCAAATTCAGGGCAGGTCTTCCTCCCTTAAATTGTCTCTGGAAAGACCCTGACACTCAGACACACGCAGAAGTATGCTTGAAGAATCTTCCTGAGTACTTCTCAATCCAGTGAAGTTGACCATCACAGGGTCTATTGGAGGTCTAAATAAAAATTACTGAACTGAATTTTAGTTAGCAAAGACAGACATGGGCTAAAGGAAGTCACAATAAAGAGAATGTAAACAGGAATGTGAACCTCTGTTTCAATGGAAGTGATGTGAACAGTAATGTTAGATAGTTTGTTTAGGACATTTGGAAGCCAACCACGTTGCTATACTTGAACTTAGTCTTAAAACAGTCTTGAGTTTCTTGACAGTAAAGGTGAAAAAGGAAGTGCTATGTGCTCTGTAGTTCCCATCAAGAAGAGAGTGAAGCAAGTTATAGTTTGTGTGTTGGCTTTTGTGTTTTAACTTTTTCGAAATAGCTTTATGCAGAGGCAGGCAGATCCTCTGTGAGTTCGAGCCCAGCCTGGTCTATAGAGTGAGCTCCAGGCAGCTGGAGCTACAGGGAGACCATGTCTCAAAAAGATCCCCCCCCCCAAAAAAAAAGATATAATTTCACTGCCAGGCATGATGGTGTATGTGTTTAATCTCAGCTGTTGCGAGGCAGAGGTAGGTAGATCTCTGAGTTCAAAGGCTCTGAGTTCAAAGGCAGCCTAGTCTACATAGCGAGTTCCAGGCCAGCTGGGGCTACAGGGAGACCCTGTCTCAAAAAGACAGAAAAAAAAAAGGAAAATAAAAGAAAAAAGATATAATTCATATACTGTACAAGTCACCTATTAAGAGTGTATAATGCAGTATATTTGAGTATGTCATTAAAATCAAGTCCTACAGTAAAATATATAGCATGAAATTTGCCACCTGAAAATACACAGTTCAGTGATACTAATTACATTCATGATGTTCATTAGTTGTGACTCACACTGTAAATATTTTTTATGAGTTATACTTGCCCTTTTATGTCTGGCTTATTTCAATTAGCATGATGGCTTCAAGGTTCATCCATGTCACATTGTATATCAAAACCTCATTGCTTTTTATGGTTGAGTTCTATTCAAGTCATTTGTACATTCACCTGTTAATGATAGTTGGGTCAGTAATACATTTAAAAGCCAAGTGCTTTTGGGAGTTGGAGAGGTAGCTCAGTGATTAAAAGTCCAGACTGCTCTTGCAGAGAACTAGAGGTTTCCTGTTTCTGTATTGGGCACCTCATAACTACCTGTAACTCCAGCTCCAGGGGATCCAATTCCCTCTTCTGGCCTCTATAGGCATTGCACTTAATGTGCACAACCCCACCCTCCCATGCATACATATTTTTTTTTTTTAAATCTTCAAAAAGCCAAATGCTTTTGATATGTTTTATGTCCCATACATAGATGTTTCCAGATATTGAAAAATGTTTCATAAACTTCTCCATCACAAGTTTAATGAACTCTTCTCGCAAGAAAGCACACCAGGGGCTGAAGACATGGCTTGGTGTTTAAAGGTGTTTGCTGTACAAGCCTGACAACCTGAATTCAATCCCTGGAACCCACATAAAGGTGGATGGAGAGAACTAATTTGTCCTCTGATCTCCAATGCCCACCCCCACAATAATAAATTTTTTAAAATTTAAAAACAAATAGCATACTAAAATGAAACTGAGTAAAATAAATGCTATAAAAGAATAACTTTGAATCTCTGCATTTTTAAAGAGTAAATAATTTCAAGTACAAGTTCATTAAAAGTCCCATGGTTTGGTACCAACTTTTATTGTTGTCCATGTGATGGTGGTGGTTCCGGGTCACTTGGGTCCATGGGGATGACTTGGCCACATCATTTGGAAGACCAGTCTAGCCTGTCACTAGTGGTGAAAGGTCCCTGAGACAGCAAGAGGGTAAGCCCTATCTCCTTAGTGCTTTCTTTGGTTTTGTGGTCCTGGAGAAGGAACCCCATGCTTCACTCATGCTAGGCAAGCACTCTGGCACTGAGCTGTACTCACAGCCCCATACAAGTGCTGTGTGTTTACTTAGATGTGTTTGCTGATGTCCCATTGGATAAAGAAAGCCACAGAATCCAGTCCATCTCTTGGGCTGAGCAACAAAGTTACATTGCAAAGTGGTATGTACAGGGGGACGAGAAGTATATGATCATTTTTTTGCAGTCTGCCATAGTATTTCAGGACAGATTTAAATGAAGAAAAACTCAATGTGGGTCCAAAGAGTCAGGAAAGGTTTTGTAGGCTGCTCAGTGCAGCTTTTTGAAGGCTAGATAGACAAGTAAAGAGGAGGAGGGAAAGGACAAATCAGGTCTGGTAGAATGCATGAAGGAATGCAAACACAAAG